ATTTCCTACTTTCGTCTATTGTAATATTCGGCTTTCAAGCAATCAATGATCAAGTTTATTTCAATGCATTTCAATTTCATGATGTAAGCTTTTTTTAAATTGTGATCAAATTTACTTTTGTTCCGAAACGATCGAGAGAAGGCAGAAGGTAGTCTAGCGGAGCAGACTACTGCCGCACAACGTCCCCTTTCTGTGCTAAGAAGAAAGGTAACCCGTGAAACCAGGGACTGTACAATGACTGCAGTTTTTCATGTTGGTCCGGCCAAATATGAGGATGAATCGGTTGTTTAATGATATTGTGGGTCAATCTGGTTCAACCAATCATATCGAACCAACCCATAATCGAACTGAACTATCTTCGATCCATTTAGGTTGGGTTTATTGGTTTGATAACGATTACGGGCCAACGAATTAACCTGTTCAACCAATCGTTTGGGTTATTTGGTTTGATAACAATTAGGGGCCAACTAATTAACGCAGATACATATGAAAAACTAAATAAATAAAATTCATTGAAAGTACTTACATAAAAATAACTAAATCAACAGCAATAGAATGACCACAGAGTTTATTGCATCCAGTTTTCACAATTAAAATTAATTAATTAAGCTGGGCCTCTGTATTTCTGGTATCCACTAGAAGAATTGCTTTTGAGTGCGCAACATCCAATGGAGTAGACAATAATTACAATAACGAGGATGATTGAATTAATGATGGCTATAAATCTCCAGTCTTTCTTAATATTGTTCAATACTGCCGTCTTGCACGACTCACAGTCGAAGCATAGTTCTTTTTGGACGTTGCTCCACGTCTTGCAATCTTGATGGGGCACGGCCGGGCCGGTTTTAGGCACTATCCAATAGGTAGCATTCTGGGACTGGAAGCCACAGTATGCTGGTGGTTGGCAGCAACCCGACTGTATGAAAGAAATTAATTAAGCGTTAGATCCGACTCTGGTAATTTCATATTCGATCCCAAGCACGACTATTTATATAATATGCATGCATGATTAGATAGAATAAACATATAAACAGATAACGAACAAACAAAAGTTACATATGATACGATGATATAGAAACAAAGATGAACATGGTTGTGTGTAAAAAAACCAGAATACATATATCTTATGCTATAAGATAGAAACATTCGATATGATGAGATAGAAACAAAGACAGAGACGAAAAAAATACCTGAATTAGAGACAGGTTATGTATGAAAAACTCCTCGCCCTTGTTCGCCGTTAAATGCTGACACAAATTCACATCAACCAGACAATTCTTGATTTCATCCCAGTTTTCTGCATTAATCACATAATTCTGCAACCAACGTGAATAATCTCCAAGCCTGTGTTCTCCAATCCCTTTTCCCGACAATGCTTTCCCCACGTGTCTATTCGTAACAACCAATGTAAAAACCGTAAAAGCCGTCAATCCGATAATAAGCAAGAACAAGATTAAAAGATAAATCCACATGAAAAATGGAAGTCTGCAGCATGATCCAAATAACCCTAATAAGGAAACAATTAAAAGGGATAAACCCACAATTAATAGAGGCTTTTGGAGAACTTCGTGACATTGGGTTTGTGAATTTACACCGAACCAAAGCCAAAATCCAATGGCAGTTAAAGAAATTAAGAACGTTAGAACGTTTATCAGTGTGATGATTCCATTGTTGACACGAACCATTTTTCTTGCTTCTTTTTGAAATCAGATCACTAGAGAGAAAAGGCAAAACCCTAGGATCTGATGATTATGATTTTCTCGTCTGTGTGAGTAAATAGGAGGAGTTGGTGGAGGAAAGAACGCAATTGCCAGCAAAAGATGGGGTGTATCTATGGTGGAGTTCTTATAACGGTGAGAAACAGTTTTTCTATGAGAATTTGAATTGAGGAAATTTCATTAGTCTCCCCAATCTTATTAATATATGTTCAAATTGGACCTTTACTTTCAAATATTGACAGATCCATCCTCAATCTTCAAATCTTGATTTTCAATGTCAACCTATTTTACCCTCACAAAAAGTGGTAATGTGTTTCCACGTGTAATTTTAACGTCCATTTGGATGGATTTCATCTGTAAGGACTTTATCTGCTACAAGTAGAAAAATACTTTAGAGATTTTAAGGTTCTGGATTCATTTGCATATATTTCAAGGGTTAGAGACCTCGATTACAATTTTCTCATTTTAAATTGAGATTCCATATTTTTTTCCCTGGTTTTGGCATTATCTACAGAAATACCTTGATTGATAGGAGTTTGAAAAGGGGTAAACTGGGGATTTTGAATTGGATTTAATTACAAAAGCTGAGGTGTACAATTAAGAGTTAAACACGTATTCATAAGTAAAGAAAGAAGCGTGCAACGACCGTGCTTAAGAATCGGTTCTCTAGGCAGTTAATTTGCTACTTTCTTGGGAAACTTGAAATCAATAATAATTTTTAGGAATAATTGCAGCAGCAGTCCCAAACCTTTGGATTTCTAGCGGACTTTATCTTAACCTTCAGTTTGTGTCAGCGGGGGTTCCAAACATTTCAAAAATTAGCAGTTGAAGTCTAAATGGATGAAAACCGTCAATTTGATCATTAGTGGACCAAGAAAATTGAACTTTGACTAATTTTGACCAAATTGAAAGGGGTAAAATGATAACTTTAGAATTAACTTTTTTTTTTCAATTATTATTAACAATAAAAACAATTAAACTAAAAAGAATCGAGATGCACATTTCCCTTCTTGAAACCAAATGGCACTGTCCTTATGTTTGGTGTAGAGTGTCCCCCTGTGAATCCATGGCTTCTGACTTGAATCTTGCTAAAAGATCGTAAAATTGGTTGAAAATGGATTTTATGAACGAGAAAACAGAAACCATGTACACTATGGGAGAATAGAAATAGGTAACAATCACTCAAGTAGATCTTCTGGAATTCCCGTGACTTTTGGGTTTGATTTAGTGGAGGCGATTGTCGAGTTTAGAAGGAATAAAAGTGAAAGGTGATGGTTCGATTTAATGGAGGTAATTTTGGGTTTTTTGTGGTGGCAGTCAACGGCTTTGGATTATGGTTTGAATGAATGTTGGGGTGGGAAAAAAATGGGGGTTGGGCAGATTTTTGATTTTTTTTTTTAAGTTCAATTATTTTTATTGTTAATAATATTTGAAAAAAAATTGTTAATTCTAAAGTTACCATTTTACTTCTTTCAATTTGGTTAAAGTCCAATTTTCTTAGTCAACTAATGATCAAATTAACACTTTTGATCCATTTGGATTATAACTGCTAATTTTTCAAAGACTTAAGACCTCCGCTAGCACAAACTGAAGGTTAAAGTAAAGTCCGCTAAAAACCCGTAGATTTGGTACCGTTGCTTCAGTTATCCCTAATTTTTTTTATTATAGCATGTTCAAATGAAATAAAAATTAAACTTATAATTTGCAGAATATACCAATAACACAAGTTGTATTTGAAGCCAAGCGCCTACAACTTCGTTTATCAGGAAATTCGCATCAAGGAGAACCCCAATAATGCAAATATTCATACAAGAGAGTAAATCAATTAATGTTTTTGATTGACATGAAAAATATATCATAAAACTTTTTTTTCCTTGTTTTGAAGAAAACAAAAACCTACACTCCACAAAAATAAAATAAAATAAAATAAAATATTTTCTTTAAAAAAAAAGGAAAAGTAGGCATAAGTTGGAAAAGATTTTCTTATGACTACCTTGTGTTTGAACCAAGCTACAGTTTCAAACTTCAGGACTANTGTGTTTGAACCAAGCTACAGTTTCAAACTTCAGGACTATCTTATGTTTTGGATTCACGAAATGAAGTACTGGCTTCAACTAAACTCTTGCAAAAATATGAGTGCATGATAAATTATGCACAAGAATATACGTTGAAGTAAATATTATTTCTAAACACAACTACATAATAAAAGAATTAAAAAAGAGCAGAAATAATGAAAAGATAACATGATAAAAGAGGCTCAAAGACACAACTATGAGGTATTTAATCAAACATCATCATCAGACCAAATGCAAACTAACAAAAGCATCAAAGATGCTTTAAACGAGGAGGAACTTCATCAAATTTGAATCCAGATAGCTTACAAAATAGGCTTCGAAGGATTGTCTTTATGCGTTCCACCAATCTTATACAACTTAAACTTTTATTGCCCATGATTGATGTTCTAAAATTACTACTAAAGTTTTATAACTTCACACTTGAAAAACACACGAGCATAAAGAACTATACAAAACTTTCTATTTTCTAATCTCTGTAACAGACCATCAATATTTAGAAGTCTTTCTGAATATAAACATAATTGTTGAAGGTAACCTAAACTTCATCTTTGAAGATAACGGAAAAACAAATTCAAAAAACAAACTACCCTTCAACCAAAGGAAATATGGAACCGACATACCTAAGGTCAGTAGTTTTCGCTTTCTGTGTCAATATTATGTTCTTTTGTAGAAGTTTCAGAAAACCCCAAAGAAAGGCGAAAGTAACAAATTAAACATTTGAAAGTAGATCCCAGAAGAATGAAATAAAATACATAATAGAAATATTAAAAGAACGTAATTTGAGTATTTTTGGTTTAATCTATATCTACTATATCTTGAAAGATGAAAAAAAAAGGAAACAAAATCACAGATTCAACGGTAGAGCTGAACAAATCGAAAGAAATCAAACAAAAAACACAGAGCAAGAATATGAAAAGAACATAGTTTAGGCATTTTAGATTCAAAGATTGAACAACAAAAATGAAAAAAAAAAGATGATTAAAAAACATACAACTAAAGAATATCACAGCCTCGTACTTCACTAAAGGCTACTAAACTTCCTCCCCAATTCAATCGAAAATCGCTAAACTTCCTCCTCATTTGCAAGGTGAACACTTAAAAAAAAAAAAAAAATAGAAAATGAATTGGATTTGGGCGAATGTAACTTTCTTCTTCCTCTTAGGTTTGGTCGAGAGAGGAGCTCCTCCAAAAGCAGAGGACTTGTGAAGAGAAAGAGAGAGAGAGAGAGAGAGCGCAAAAGTCAATTTTATATAAGAGATATTTAGATGAACCATTTAATGAACAGTAACTAAGAGATTGCAGTGTGTAAACAAGGACAGTAAAAAAAAAAAAGTCCGCGCGGACCTTTTTTTTTTTTATACAGTGCTAACAATAATCTACGATAAACCCATAGCAAAATAAAATCATTTCTATCTTGTATATTTTATAAGTGTACAATACATTTAAAAATAACATTAACCAAATTTACAAACATTTATTTTTAACACTAATTAAGGAAGTCCATATTACCCTTAAAACTTGGATGAATAGTGAAGAATAGATATGGATAAAATGGGATAAAAAAAAGCTTCACAACTGCCAGTAAACGATGGATTGCCTCTTTTAAAATAGTAGGAAATTAACACACAGTAAAGTTGAGCAAATCAACTTTAAAACAACCTACAACTATGTTTATCAACACGACTGGCAAGTTGGTCTCCAACTTTCGAAAATGAACAGCTTTACAATGGTAGTTACACAATCAGTTTTAAATTACAAAACCTTCTAAACCTTAATCAAATTGTCACGACTCACCTGGAAGCATGCCTCGCCAAAGTTTTGATAACTAGTCCAAGTTGGGAAACAAAACTTGACTTAAAAAACTAGAGCACGTGAAATTCACGTGACGATTTAACATGGTTTTGAAAGGTTTCCATCATTGAGGACTGTTTATGCAACTATAGTAATGACTGATGACCAACTTGCTCATTTTTTGAGGACCAATTTGCTACTCAAGCAATAGGTTGGAGACTAATGGTGCAGTATTCCTACAACAGTAGTAGTACTAAAACTGTAGATAGGGAGATTTTTTTCCAGAAAATTATATTTTCCTTCAAGGTGAAAAATACAAAAACAATTAGATAGGTATAGGATTCTTACATCAATACAAATATAAAACAGCACACCTATGCAGTAGAAAGATTTCTAATTTCTATATCTCATCCAGAAACTGCTGAAGATCATCCAATTTTCCGTTGAACAGGTCTACAAAGTTCTAGCTAGTAATTAGTAATCTTCAAAATCGTTCGACATAAAGACAAAAGCTGGGCAACTTGCCATAATAGTTACCTTTGCCATGATTCGATGGAAACATATCCTCCTGTGGTACACGCAACCTCTTTGATCTGATGCTCTGAAGTTCCTCCATACTTCTCCTATTCAGCTTCTCCAATTTAGCACGAAATTCAGAAGTGGTAGTAGCCAACTCTGTTGGAAGGAAGAATCTACTTTAAAGGTTGTGATTTCATATAAAATCAACTGAAGTGTGAATAAATTAAAAAAGTCAGACAATCTTACAAAGTAGACCTTAGATAGCTGTTCTCGAAATAAAATTCACTAGAAATAAGAAGTTCACAGCACATAATACGCAAGAGAACTTAAATCAACTGATAAGATTCTATTCAGGTTCTTCCTTATGCTCGTGAAAGGTAAATAAACTGTAAATAAATAAGAGAAATTAAATTTTTAACAATTTTAAAGCAATAGATCTTTTCCACAAAAAAATGTATATGCAGCAAGGTTTTGATCCATATCAATTGGTATATTGACATCGTTTTGGCAGATATAGTCAGGTAGTATAGGAATGAGAATAACAGCAGTGAGTACATTGGAGACCTGTGGTCAGATATGAGAAGCTAGAAAAGGAAAACCAAAAATTACCCCAGTTCCATAGGTAGAGCATGTTTGTGTTTACAAACGGTTTAAATTATAAATAGATAGAAATTAGTGATGGATAAGAGGGTAGTACTTGCGGGTCCCTCAAAATGTGATTGCTTCAGTATTTATAAAAAAGTTTACAAACATGATCCAAACATTGGCTTAGATTGATAAATATGATCCAACACTTCCACAGAGGTACCATGAACTGGTAGGAGGCCTAAGTTCTTTGGACAGTCTTTGGAAGAATTATATAACTGTTGACCATGTCTGATGTCCCCATGAAGTAACAAGAAGAAGTTAAGCTTTATTTTAGTAAACTTCAGTCTGGCTGCACGAATCTTTTTCAACCATTCTTTTGGATACATAACCTCTTCCCTTTTAAAGTAACAGAAGAAATTTTTATTTGAAAGAGATAAAGAAGACCTACATGTTCATTTCCAACAACATATCAGAAAAGGAATTTTAGTCACCTTGTAATATTTGAGTGGTAGCTTGTTTCTCATACAACTGTAATGCTTCATCAACAGATCCAGCACACTGATTGCTTAATAAAGACTGTTTTTCCAATGCACGCAGTTCTTTGCCAAGCTCAGTAGATTCTTTTCCAACCTGTTTAAGTAATTTAAGCTTCATATGCAAAACTAATAAAATAAACTGTTCCCTTGTTTGAGCCCCATTTTTTGAGAAAAAATGCATTCTTGAATAGTGTTTTGACGCAAACCCAAAACTTTTCCTTATTTTTTAATCACACATTTCTCATCAATACACTATTCAAAAATGCATTTTTTTGACAAAAATGGGGCTCAAACAAGCCATATATAAGAAAGCTATTACAATCTGAAGAATCTTATTTACCAAAGTAAGCTTGTCTCGCAAAGAATTCAACTGTGCATCCAGCTCTGTATCAGCAAGAGCATCGAGGTCTGGCAAATCATCAGGCGATGATGGATTCTGGAAAGACATGTTCGAAGGGACTTTGAGATACAAATTTGGTGGGCAGGTGTGTGGGGTTGGGGGGCCTGGCTTACAGAAGATGGAAGTACTGTATTTTTTTCTAACATCAAGATAATCTTTGAATAGACGGAAAACCAAGTGTGTCTCTTGTTGACACTTCTAAAAATAAAATAAGAGCTACTTTCATTTAATCATGTGTCACTTTTTGAGAATTGAACAATCTTCAAATTGGTATAGTGGCAGGGATACCTACAAAAGTGGTATGTTGTTTGTAATATCATTTCAATGTGTTATTTGACTAAGATGCATATTTGCTAAACTGATATGGTCAATTAGAAGCATAAAGAAACGCATACTCGAAGATTACATGGCAAAAGAATGTTCAAACTTAGAATATGGATGTCTACACTTTCAACCAACTGATGAACTTTGATAAGTGGTATTTGTCTTGTTCATGGTTCCTATTTTAATTATTAGTTCAGCTACAGGGAACACAACTCTGATAATTTATAAGACTAGGTTTAGAATGAGATGAACAGATGGAGTCCGGAAAAGTGGTGCGACGAAGACCAGCTTGTCCTTATAGGTTATAGCTATGTTTGGCTCAGATTTAAAAATTGTCTATAAATATTCAAGCTACTTTTTATTCACACATTTAGAAGGATCCACAACTACTATTTATTCATGCACAACTCATTTCTATCTACTTATAATATAAAATGTATAAACACTTTCCAACATACTTTTAGTTTTTTGGCCTCCGTTTCGCCAAATTTATAATCATTTATAAATGGTCAAACTTTAATTTCAACCATAGACACAAGTACTATCCATCACTCATTGGTATCTAATTATAAATAAAACCATATATAAATTCTTCCCATTGGAAGGCTTAATAATTTGGTCAAGTCAAAAGGTACTTCAGGATTGTAGACTCTAGAAAAATTTATAAGTTACTGGGAAAATATAAGCATTAAATCTCCATTGATTTGTAAAGCAAGCATAACAATTTATCAATTCCAAGAGGCATTCTACTCTATTTTTGAGTTATAAAACTTTATTTAGAGTCTTATTACGTCATTGGGACATATTACAAGCGGTTAGTTACTTTAGTTAGACATATGCATCTGTAAAGTCTTAAGTCTTAAAGCACCCAGTCTATCAGAGTCGCTAACTAGAAGTGCACTCTTCACGAATTAATATATACATCAAAGTAGGACAGCAGAGGACGGTTGTTCATCAACTTGAAGAAATCTTAAATTTTTTCCCTTGATCAAGATTACACCAATTCGTAAACTAGCCTTTTGCTGCCAAAATATAAATAGTATGTCTGTATTTAGCTATGCTCAGGTTGGTGCTGCATTGATATAGGTTCCAACAGTTATACAAATTTGCTCCAAATAAATTACTGTCTTTGTCACAGGAAAAATGCCAATACTAATGCTAGAGAATGGATGTAATCCAGCATTGCAGTCGTAAAATGTAAATGGGTGACAAATATAGCACCCTTAAGCCTGGACAGCCACTTAGCCTACGTTTGGCAAAAATTATAAACAATTCATAATTGTTAAAACTTCATTTTCAACAGATATTCCAATGAACCACAAGTATTATCCACTTATTCAATACTCATACCTATATATTTTAAAATTAAACCGTTTATAAATTCTTCCTAAACAGAGGCTTAAACTTTGGTCATTCTAAGCATCATGCATTTTTAAAGTATATAACCCAAAAGAAATGGCCACAATGAAATAGAAAATATTATGTTTGGTATGAGGGAAAGTTGAAACGGAGATGGGGAAACAGAAAATTGGAGGAAATTTGACTTTCCCAAGTTTTGATTGGAGGGAAATTTGGAAGGCATTATAATGGTGACATGAGTGAAGTTTTAACTGTCTTGATTTACAAAAATACTTGAAACGCTGTTTCATTCTTATTTATTTTTCCCATAACACCATACAAGGGAAGGAATTAGTTTCCTGGTACAATGGACGCAGATAGACTGCCATCCCCATGTGTTCCCACCAATTGCCTCTGCCAAAGATAGCCCAAGTTGTATGTCAGAAATGATCTGCTACTTCCCAAAATATCAAGCTGGTCACAACTCTAAAGAAATCTTAATTATAACTATTAACTGATTACTACTAACCAACTTGATAAATCTCCAAAAGAACAGTACTATTCAGATAATTCAGATATGCAATCAAAGGGATTGACTTCGAAATGCAACCATCAGTAGACATACAGCTCTAGGTAGAGAAAATCCTTCAGGGACACGGAAAAAAAATCGGAGAGAGTATTCTTCCCACTTCTTCAACCGGTTGTCCAGTGTCAACCAGACCAAATTCCGAATGTATGCTACACCCTATCGATGTAACAAAAAAAAAATCAAAATCAAAATTATGAAACCCAAACAACAAGAAATGTAATGAAAATTTCATAAATTATGTTAAAATGGAAAATAAAACTTAAATTGATCCCCGGTTTAAATCCTCAGCTCGATCAGTGGCCTCGATTTTCATTTGAGCAGAGGCCTCCCTGTAATGATAGACAATATTATCAATTTCTCATAAAATACTTACATGCTTCTGTGAAGAGAGATGTTAAAAGGGTAAAATCTCACATAAACAATAAGGCTTGGGCTCGAACCTCAAGCCTCCTATGGTACGAGGGCTAAAAAAGCTTAAACGAGCAATTCAAGCAATTTTAATCTTAAAACAAACAGTCAGTTCCATATTCGTGTTCAACCACCATCTTACAAGGCAAGTTAATGGCTAAAATTCTACACCAGCTAAATGTGAAAACAATAGCCAATATTACAAGCGTTGGACTACTCCTCCGTTGAACCTCGACTGAAGAGAGAGAGAGAGAGGGCTCACTCAAGGAAGTAATTGAAGGCCTCGTCGGTGAGATCATCAACAAAATTGAGAACCTCATTGATAAAGAGATGGGGGCTCAGGTTCAACGATTCGAATATCGCGCTGTTTTCGCTGTCTTCCATTTTCAGCAATTTTTCAATTCTCGAACTCACCGTGTCTGAGAGAGAGAGATAAATGTAAGAGTTTTCTCCTTGTTCTACATTTCCCGCCAGATGAATTTGGCTATGGACTGGAGAAATCAAATTTGAAATGGCACGATTAGGGATTTTGACTTTTCAGCTAGAAAAGAAAAGATGGGGGAGTGGGGAAAAAATAGAAAAAGATAAAAAAAGATGGGGGACCGTTTTCTAATTTTCTTACAAAATAGTAAAAAAATAAAAAAGAGAAAACACACAGGCCAAGGCGGTCCAACTCATTCTGAGACCGAGAGCCTTGGGCTTAACTGGGCCTGGTCCAACCCGATCCGTTTTGCTCACACTTATTAGGTCACAATCGACTACTATAAAACCTAGTTTTTTTTACAGCACTGTCTTCTCAGAAGCTCAAAACCCTAGCTTTCTTGTCGTAGCGTCGGCTCTTTGAGATCTTGCTTGTCTTCCTGGTAAGCTTCAATTCTCACTCACTTATACGTTTGTATTTATTTGTAATATGTGAAGACATTTTTTTTATTTACGATTATGCTTTTCAAATATTTCTTGATTTTGATTTTGTCTATACTTCGACGTGTCTTTCTTTTTGATCCTTTTTTCTATTTCATGTCATTTATTTTTTGGAACTTTTGTTGAATATAAGCAAGTTAGTGACGTGATCGGAAGTTCTTTGATTTTTTGATTTTGTGTTTTTTGTTGAGTGCAAGCAAATGGGGATCAATAGTTTCACACAATGAATACATAGCGAGCAAAAGTTTGTGTCCTTTCTTGGTTTTCTCTTTATCAGGTTCAATTAAGATCGCAGTTGATCCCTGTTCAATGAAAAGCAGCAGTTGGAAATATTTGTAATTCATACATTTTAACAGTTGTATATATTAAACTTTCTTGTTGAACTTGTGGCCCCAAGTCTGTTCAGAACTTTCCTCGTTTGTGCAGTACCATCTAATTTGACTTAGGGGAAAAACAAGAAAGAATAATTCTATTTAGCACCAATGGTGTTAGAGCACCAGTCCAAGTGTCATAATGGTATAGGCTCAATTACATGTGGAATTATGTAATTCATTTAATTGTGGTGCCACTGAAACCGATGTTCTTATACCAGTTGCTAAATAGCATTACTCAACAAGAAAATACTAAGCCCATGTTTGAGCCACGTTAAAATTTTCATTTTTATTTTCAACCACACATTTTTCAATAAAATAATATTTTCCATCACATCAATAATTTTTCATTTTTTTTCAACATTAATCTACTTGTTCAATATACATTTTTCCAAAATAATGTGGCTCAAACACACCCTATTCCTGAAATTTCATTTTAATCACGTTTCTTAGAGTGTTATTTTTTACTATGTATCATATAACGCAATTATATTTCTGGACATAAAGTAACATTTTAAACTTTCTGTCATTTATTGGAGAAATAGTTTAGAAACTGTAGTTTTTTTTTTAATTAATAAATTTGGGTATAAGTAATTCAGTTAGTTGGTTTATTTTTGTAGTGTTTTTGAATGTCGTTTCATGTGGGAGGATATATATTTTCCTAATGTTGATTGCACAAAATTGTGAGTAGTTTTTCTGCTAGGTAAATGTTTTCATTGTAAGGATGTAAACAATTATGAGTTGTGTATATGTGGTACAACACAGCATTATCTACAAGCAAAGATGGTGAGAGTTAGTGTACTGAATGATGCTCTCAAGAGCATGTACAATGCGGAGAAGCGAGGGAAGCGTCAGGTCATGATTAGACCCTCATCCAAGGTCATTATCAAGTTTCTCTTGGTGATGCAAAAGCATGGTATGAGAAACATTTTTTGGGGGCATTATTATTATTATTAGTAATATTTGGATTTCTTTGTTTATTGTTATATATGTTTATTTAATCTTCTGATGATATGTGCAGGATATATTGGGGAGTTTGAGTATGTCGATGACCACCGATCTGGTAAAATTGTGGTCGAACTCAATGGAAGGTTGAACAAGTGTGGAGTCATCAGCCCTCGCTTTGACGTCGGTGTCAAGGAAATTGAGGGTTGGACTGCAAGGTTACTTCCCTCCAGACAGGTAATAATTCATAGAAGAGAGTTGTAGATTGAAGTTTGGAAGATGACAACTTCGTTCTGCCAAGAAATAAAAACAATTTATCTATCTAACATTAATATGTTAAGAGAAATGTCCTCGTGTCAAATACTGCTGGGTTTTGAACGATGCCTCATTTTTTGTTGTGGATTCGTTACGTGGAGAATTCATGAATTCATATCTTTTCCAATAGGTGTACTAAGTAAGAACACGTTTGGCTATTGCTTTCAGTCTCAAGTAATTTTTTTATGGAAAAGCAAGTCCTTTGGATAGAAACACAATTTACTTCAAAAAAGTAAGCCAAACATGTTAAATATATGCCTATATTGTATTATATATAAAATAGGAAAGATATACTGTACGTTGGCGATGATCTTTTGATTGATTAAAAGCTGAACAGTGATCGAAATTGCAAGTTTAATTTTCATTCTTCACCATATGTATGTTTTTACACGGTTGTCATAATTTCTTGTACTTGTAGTTTGGATACATTGTGCTGACGACATCTGCTGGCATCATGGACCATGAAGAGGCTAGGAGAAAGAACGTCGGTGGAAAAGTGCTTGGCTTCTTTTATTAGGCTACTCATATTGTTCAGTTTGAAAAAAATTTCATATTCGAAGAGCTTTTTGGTGGAGTGTTGAGATTGTTGACACCGAGGATATGTTTTGTTTATTTGCTTTCAATGCGAGTAGAGATTTTAACTTGTCATGTTTTGATCGTAATGTGCACCTTTTATTAGAGAGAAAATTTCTGGGTTTTCATTTCTGAGTAACTCCTCTTGTATCAAATAAATTTAGAATAATGCTATTTATCTGCAATTAGATTGAGAAGGAATCTAATATCACGATAATAAATAACATTACTCTTTCAAATATCTCAATTACAATCTTAAATCCTCCCGTTAACCTTGCATTGGTTTAACTCCTCTACGTAAACCCTATCCCCACCAATTTCACATTCAACAGTCCCGCCTACTCTCCAGTCTTCCCTATATCTTTTACAACGAAAATGATTGTATGTTCGTCCTAAAAACTTCATTTTGTTTCGAGTTAGCCACCGAAGTTCCCTAATAGTTCCAATATTATCACTTAAGGTCCATTTGATAGGCAAATGTGGAAAAAAATCTCAATGCCATGTTAGTTGAAAAATAAAAACCTACCAAATCCATAAGAATTCGGTTTCCATGAAAATAAAGAAAATGTAGTTTAAAGTGATTGTACCTTGAAATTTGATTTTCATTTCCACGTTATAATCAAACGATCAAAGTGGAATTCGTTTTTTTTCGGATATGACATTTTCCATGGAAAATGTAGAAACATACAGGCCTTGGTTCCATTGTTGTTAAATCCTACATGTGCATTTTGAATTCCATTACATGAACCTTTTCCCATTAGAAGGGTTCACTTGGGAATGCGGACACGGATGGTGCATGGTCATCATTAGCCAATGTCGTAAGGTGTTGGGTCAAGTGCCACAACAAAAGCAATCCTCGTGTTTAGTTGCGCCTACGTTGTGTTTGGAATCCTTAACAAACTGGAAAAATAGGTCTAGATCGATACAAGCCTTAATTACAATAAAAATGGGGTGACAAAACCCTAATAATTGCAAAGAAGATTCTTTATGCAAGATGTTGAAATATAATTATTAGATTTGACCAGAACTTTTTGTTGCTAGTAACATTAAACACGATCGAGGAAGTGGATGCGTAGAAAAACATAAAAATAAATTAAAAATATTTGGAGGTTATTATGAAATTTTGGATAGACTATTTTTCTTTTCTCACCTCGTTTACTAGTTTGATGAGGCCCAATGAGGAGCACTACAACGAGGGTGGAGGACGAGGAATTTCGCAATCTCTATAATATATATATATATATGATTATGTCAGAATTTTTTCAATCAAATTGAAAAGAAAAAAAAATTCTTTTTCACTTTCTTCTTGACATCTTATCTATCAGTAAAAATTTTCAGAACTCCTTGTGAATAAGTAACATTAATCAGGCGGTGTTTGATTGATATTATTGAGAAAACAATCTATTTTAAATAGTGATATAATGGAAAATATATGGTTAAAGAATAAGGAAAAATTATTGATGTAATAAAAAATATTATTTTATTGAAAAATGTGTGGTTGAAAATGAGTTCTGAAATATTATATTTTGAAAGAATGTGTGTCAAATAGGAGCTCAGAGTAAAATAGACATTTAAATAATTTTTTAAAATAACGATGAAAAATTAGGTGGCGTGTTTGACATAAATTAAAATTAGATTAAAATTGAAAAGTTAGTCTTTATTATTGACTTTTATTATACGAATAAGACGTTATATCTCTCTCCCTCTCAACCTCTCTCCCTCTCACACGCTCGAACTCTCACGTGCGGTGAGTGGCCAAAACTGTAGATGCTGAGGCCTAACTCCATGGGCCCCACAGGTCTACCAATTCCCAAGTCATCGATTTCTTAGCTCACCCGTCCATTATTTTTCATCCAACGGTTGTGAACACTCTGACGTTCCAGTAGCGGTTACTACCCCTGCCTCATTTCCCGCACTCAAACCCTAGAGAACGTTCACAGCACTCCGCAGCCCTCCACAGTGAACTCCTGAAAAAAACTAGAAAACCAGAATAAAAAAGACCCATCTGAAAATCAAAGAAATTAATACTGGACTGTAGAATTATTATTTGCAGACAGGTAATTTTTTATTGTAGGATTATTATTTTACGCATGTTTTGGATTTTTTTTGGATATTAATGATTAAAGATGGTGTTTTTATGGAACAACATTGTGAATTTTTGATGGGTTTGTCGTATTTTGGTATATAGTTTTCTTTGCAGTATGGCGAGGACGAAAATTGCTGAAAAATGAATTAAAAAATATCCGTGGCTCGTGGTGGGTTCGGTTGAGTCAACTGAGTTGGGGACCGAGATTGCTGGGAAGAGTGAAAGAAGAGGGTTTCTTTCTCAGTTTCTTGCATGCTTGAAAGAGGCAGAGTTTGGGATCGATTTGTGTGAGTGGAAGTCCCAAGCTTACTGAGTTGGGATCGGGTTGTTGTCTAGTCAAGGGTTCAAGTTTATGTTAGTGGGACTTCGAATTGAATTTAGCTGTGTAGTTCTTCTTC